GTTAGTTCTCATGTTGACCATACCCGTTAGTTATGTCGATCGGTTAGTTCTCAGTAGATAAACAACTTTGTGACGTTAATTCTAGCAAACACATGTTATAAAATACTTACTGGACTAAGAAATATTTACTCTCTTACCTTCTGTTATTTCTTGATTTAGTAGCAAACGAGACGTAATTCCTTTTATGTTTCCATTCTCATCAGCTCCATCTATAAACCAAAATTAAACATTAGATTCTGTACTTAATTACAAAAAAAAAACGTTAACGAAGCTGATAACATGACACTTTTATACAATCAGAACTTTGAAGTAAATCCCTGTTAACAAATTTTAGCTTATGTTATATAATTATGTAAAAGTTTCAATATTCTTAAGTTTTCAAACAGCACCTTGAACAAGGACCATTGTCGTCGCTGCTTTTTTCCCACTCTCATTTTCTATTACACAAGAATAGACTGCGCTATCCGAAGGGGTCGCATCCCGAATCACAAGTCGACAGAGTCCTCGGTGGTTGGAATAGGTGTCGACTCTCCAGTCTTCTTGTAAGCGGTGCGCGTTTTTCATCCTACAATAAATATTTCCATGTATCTTAAAAACTGTTATCAAGTATGTAGTGAGTGAGAGAGAGAAAGAAAACAACACACTACACAATATGTGATGTAAGCTGACGGTTATTCTGTCACTGATTAACTAGACGATGTAATATGTGATGTAAGCTGACGATTATTCTGTCACTGATTAACTAGACGATGTAATATGTGATGTAAGCTGACGGTTATTCTGTCTCTAATTAACTAGACGATGTAATATGTGATGTAAGCTGACGGTTATTCTGTCACTGATTAAGTTAGACGATGTAATATGTGATGTAAGCTGACGGTTATTCTGTCACTGATTAACTAGACGACGCAATATGTGATGTAAGCTGACGGTTATTCTGTCACTGATTAACTAGACGACGCAATATGTGATGTAAGCTGACGGTTATTCTGTCACTGATCAAA